GGCGGAGTGGAGTTGTGGTGGTGGTTTGGTGGTGTTGGGGAGTTTTTAGGTATTTTTTTTGGTTGTGCAGGTAGATGGTGTTGGTGGCTATGGCGGATTGACAGCGATTTTGGTGAGATTGTGGGGGTGTTGCATTGTTGGGTGTGTTTGATGGGGGTTTTTGGCTATGGTTGTGGTCTGGTGGCTGTGGTCGTGTAGGCGGTGGGGACGGTGGTTATGTTGGTGAGGTTGTGGGTTGGGTAAAGTTGATTTTACAGGTGGAGGTGTCGACGGTAAGGTTTGTTTGCGATGGAGATGGTGGTGACTGTGTGGGCTGTGGGGCGCGTTTCTGTTGGAGATGTTTGGCATTTGTGACCTATAAAATAGGTAATATGCAAGTGATTGGTGGTGGAGGTGGTGTCAGTGGCTTTGTTGGTGCTGTTGCGGCGTGGTGAGGGTGGTCGAAAGTAGTCATAGTGGTAGTGGCGGTAGTTTGTGACCAAATGTTTGGTAATCTGTGACCAAATGTTTGGTAATTTGTGACCAATTACTCAATTGTGATCTAAAAATTTAATAATATGTGATTCAAAAATAATTTGTGACCAACTAATTTAAAAACTTACGACCTCGAAATAATCTGAAACGTACAAATTTTTTAATCTGAGACCTCTAAATAATCTGCGATCAATTAATTTTAAAATATGTGACATGTGACCTATAATTATATATATGTGACCATTAATTATATAACTATGATCTTATTATATTTAATTAATTAACTAAAAACCTGATTTTTGCATTAGTTAAACTTCAAACCTGATTTTTAAATTGTGTATAGTTAATACCTTACTTTTGAACTCTTCCCTAGTTTTTTTTTTTATCTTTTCTTATTAATATAAAACATATTTCTGTTTTCTCAATTTTTTTTTATTGAACCTTATATATTTGAAAATTTATGTTAATTAAAACTTTTGTCTTCATCATGAGTATGTTTGCTTGCTTGGCAATGTGTTCCTAGCTAGAATTACTTTTGTGCACATGATTATTTTGAAACATTTAAATTTTAATGGCCATTCAATATCATTGGGGGTTCGTCCAAAACTATATAGTTAAAATTAATTGTTGACTTCATTTAGATTAAAATCTATATTTATTAAAGCATTAGGCAACAACCATTGTCAAGAAGGACAACCTCTCTTGATTTTATGTTGAGCTGTAAGCTTTTGAAGTTGGAGAGCATTAGACACCCTCTACACATTTTAGAATGCCAACCTTGTTGCATTAAGTGATCCTCTCAATGTTGTTTATTATTTTTCTTCTAATTATAGAATACAAAGTTTGCTTGTACGATTTAAAATTTGAATAATTGAACTTACTGTATATGTTTATCTTAGTAGGAAATCGAATAGACTACGATAATTTAGCTCGAAAAGGGTTAGGTCCTCAACTCTTCATGGATTCCTAGAAAGGGTGAGCATGTCTTCTTACTAATAGAACCAAATAGAGAGCCAATGAGAATTCTAAACATCAATTTGTTGGTTCCATGTGTAGTAATGCAAACCTACAGGGGCGGAGCCCAATACAGTCCAGGCTGAACTCATTTTTTTAAAACTCTTTTTGCTTTCGGCCCAAGACCTACCCAGCCCAACCCAAAAACTTAAAAACCTCAGGTAACTGAATTTTACTCATCCCGTTGTCCGTCTCTCTCAAACTCTCACCTGTGCCTCTGTTAATCTCCTCCACTCCAGGCGGCGATGTGTGCCTCCACTTTTCGGTGTTGTCTGCCTCTGTTGTCTTCATCCTCAGACGACATTTCTCAACATGTACCATATGGCCTTTATGTTTTAATAATGTTTTCAAGTTTTACTTTTTCATACTGAGACAGATATATTTTATGTGTTTTGGGTAATTAATTTTCAAAAATAGAATGCAAGTTTAAACCGAATTCTAATCTCTATTTAGCCTTGAGGGTTCTAAATTGGGGCCTTATATGGCGTGTAATGATGAAGTGGATGAATTTTGCTTTATTAGAAATAGTGAGAATGAACTGATGAAATGAAAATTAAACATAGTGGCTCCTTATTGGCCTTTTTTCAGTTTTTGATTTTTCTTCGAGGAACATTGAAATGGAGATGTAGGTTTTAACTGAAGCCTTTTTCGAGCTAGATAGGTATTACAGCACTTGAGATAGTTTAATGTAATTTTTATATACGACATAACATA